AGAGAGAGAGAGAGAGAGATAGATAGAGAGAGAGAGGGGGAATCCATGCTCTGACTTCATAAAAATCTAGCCTATTGAACATGGTAATATATTCCAGCGAATAGTGCCATTTTTACGTTTGTTATGAATGATAATAATGTTTCTAGCACTGGTTACAACCGCTCATTGGAAAGCAGGCATAGCAATTGAGAATAACGGTTCAAAAGATATTGCTGGGAGAAAAAAATCAAACTTAAAGGCTGCAATTGTGTGAAGCAACTGGAAAAAACCCTCTATAGACTAGATGTAGGCGTAAATCAATTTATAAATTTTAATTTTATTATGATTAGATCTAGTTTCTAGATCTAGATCTAAATCTAGATCTAAATTATGCTCCTTATTTTCTTGACAGGCGAGGCCTAGGCGAGGCGTAGCAACGCCAGGCGAACACGCCGAACAATGAACACTGAAAAGCGTGCGTGACGTCATAGGGCTAATAAACGCAGTTTATAAATAGGCCACGGCCTATAGGAACGAGGTGACGGAGCTCCAACAAAATGATTAGCCGACGAAAATCAGCAGACCCCGCACGAACCATACGAAAGAAAGTGAAACTAGATTCTAGGCTTGTCACAGTTGTCAGTGGCCAAGTTACGAAACGGGACTTCGGACGAAAGGAACCCCTGTTACAGGCTGACAGTGGTAGTATTTGGGCCATGTAACGAAGATAAAGTTGCTTTTGCACCCCTTTCTTTTGTTTGGTGTGTGTCTGTTGGAGAGTACAGCAAAGAATTAAGGTAGGCTCTTGATTACGATCACGTCTCAGTCGTCAGTCTTACTTAATGATGAATCTGAACATACCTTCAAATCACAGTGAAGACACTGTCGTAACTCACAGAGTTAGTCAAATTCTTGAATTAAAATTAAATTATATCTAGGACTGTGCGTCAGTCTAAAATCCCCTGGACCTACTTCTCAATAGATCTAGATTTCTAGTTCTCTTCGGCTCTGGCCATCAACTAAATCTACTACGTGACCCGAAGCAGGAAAAAGCGATGTGCCGTAGCTTAGTCGCTCAGTATGAGAGCGTGTATCGGGCTAGGCCATAGCCCTAGGCTAGACCAAAAGTAAAAGAAGAGCAGAGCTTGTCGTATGTGATTCCTGATTCATTGAATTGCCATCTTTGATGCTCAGGCATACGCAGGCATCCACTTCACCAGTTTTACAGTAGGCCTACTCATACTCGTTTGATAAACATCACAAGCAACAAGACCGGAGGAAAAAATGGCTATCAACAAAGACAAAAGAAAATGTTTCTCACTCGAATTAAAGGCCGAGATAATTAACGAAGTTGACAAGAAAAGGAAGACTAATCTACAGCACATGTTTTATTGATATGGAAGGCAGGTAATCCTATTATGTGGATTTTAAGAAATTTTTCAATAATTTTCCCTTTGCATTCCAATAGTGGGAACTCGCCTAGACTACAGCGGGATTTTTCTTCTGGAACAAAAAGTCCCGCTGTAGTGTTCTACTGTATTTGACCTTGTTTTCTCCTTCTTCCAGCACACGATTGTAAACAACATCTTAGCTGCAACATGCTGGTCTCCCTCATAAAGGATGGAGGCATGTGGGCTGTATCGCAGCTGACGCTGTCCAGCCTACTGTATGTAGGGATTACCTTCACATTGATGGCTGGAGCGGCAATAGCCGTGCTTGTTTTCCGCCCGAGGAAGGTATGTTTGAAAATTTAAATTTTATTTGCAGGGATGGGAATTTTTCGTAAATTTACAGAAATCTGTAATTTTGATTTGCTCCGTCATTTTCCGTAAATGGGATCCCCGATGCTTTTCTACCTACTTTCAATGGTGAGTCATTCTACTATGTGTACTAATCTACAACTAAATAAGTGTATTTTTCCAAATCTGTATAGCCTGCGAAAAGTTCAGTAAAGTTTGGACTGATCAGTTTCCTTCACTCTATTTAGAGGTCTCTGCTTTCCACAGGTTTTATATTTTTAAAAGTTTAAGTGTGTTGTTCTGAAAGTAGTGGAGGGGGCTGCTCACTAATGAAAACAAAATAAAATGCAAATACAGTCGAACCTGCCTAAACGGAAACCTGTTTAAAACGATATCCTGTCTTAATGGAATCTCCCCGTTCCCCCTTGAATATATTCTTCTATAATTACCTGCATAAAACAGAAATCTGTCCGATGCGGAAACGGAAAGAAAAATCTTCTCCCTTCTGAGGGTTTCACCTGCCTAAGAAGACGGAAAATGCTTTGCCCGCTCAGCCTTGATTTGAAACAAAACTCTCAAGTTTGGTTCCACCGGCTCCAAATTTTAATGCCATAGCCATGCCGCTGGGCGAGGAAGGGGAGTAGGGGTACAATTTGGGGTAGATGTTCCCCATCATGTAGGCCTAAGTCCTGAGCAATGCAGATGGTCAGGATGGTGAGGGTGTGAAATCTCATGACTGCCTGTGAGAGTGCTCGAGTAGCGAGCCACTACAGAAACTTTCCTGGGTAGCCAGATGCCAGAGGTGTGAAATTAGATTGACCAATGCCTGCCGCCCTGGTACAGCCAGCCAAGAAAAGAGTTCCTCAAATTGTTTTTACATGATGGTAGTGAGGGGTGGCATTGGTTGACTGCTTGTCACACCGATGGGTAGGGCTAAGGGTGGAAGCAAAGGAGATGTTCAAGAGTTTGATTTTAGTAGGTCAAACAGTGGTCCTATGAAAGGCAAGCACTGGTGGTAATTGGAAGTAAGACTGATGTGCATGTCATTATCAGACCAGATAGCAATTGAGAGGTGTGAAGTTTTGACCACTGTTTGCCAATCGGACAAGCGATCCTTGATCTCACCAGCTGGGCCTTTAGACCACCCCCCCCCCCCGCTCCATAATTCACCTGTCTAAAACGGAATTAATTTTTTTCTTGCTCCCTTGTGATTCCGTCTTACACAGATTCGACTGTATGCGGTTTCTGGAACACTTGAGTAGGCTTGATAAAGTTCTGAGTATCTTGCTCTCACTGGAAAAGTAGTATTCAAACTATGCGGGGTAGGCCATGAATGACTTACTTTACTTTACTTAAATAACAGAACTTGGAACAAATGGGTAACAGGGAGCGACAAGGACCATTTTGAAATCATCTGAGTAGAGAAGTGAGTTGCAAACCATGTCACTGATGTCCGTTTCAGACTGGCAGTTTGCTCTAAACTTTCTGCAGAGTTGAGATAGAGATTCACATGCCTCGGGTCTTCAGCTAGTTTTTGTCATCACTGATTGTCCTCAGAGGAAGGAGATGGTAAAATAGAACAAATTCATCATCTTCTTCTAAGAAAAATAGCGCAGAGTTTTGGGAGTCTTCTTTGCAGGGTTTTTTGGACATAAAATACCTACCTGTCATTATTTTGGTTCTTGTTTCATTTTATGTTTAAACTTTTTTTTGGGTGAAATTTGTTGTAATGAACTCCCCTGTGGGTTTTTTCTTTTTGAAATTACAGTCCTTTCGTCTTGTCAAGCCAAACAGAAAGTTTGAAAAAGATGGTCCTGAAGTGATAATAATCGGTTCAGGTGTAGCGGGGTCTGCTATGGCTACTGTGCTAGCCCGAGATGGGAGGAAGGTCACCGTGTTTGAGCGAGACATGAAAGAGCCAGACAGGATTGTTGGAGAGCTGCTGCAGCCTGGAGGAGTGAAAGCTCTGAGGAAGCTTGGTCTTGGCGGTCAGTCTTCACTGTGTTGAGGGTTTAGCATTTTTGCTTCATTAATTGGCTTGTCTGCTGAAGATGGGGAATTGGTTAGTTTTGGTAAGCGGTTTATGACACTTGCAACACAAATAGATCATGTAATAATGTAAGAACCAAAGATTACAGGTGCTACTAAAGAGTAGCATACAAAGGAAAGGAGGAGAGATTTAATAAGAAAGATAGATGTATGACAGTAAAAAAGCAGCAAACCTCACCAGAGCACACACCAAATGCCCTCAGAGATTGTTTGCTGGATTTAGTTGTATTCGTCTTTATATTGGAAAAAATGTTCAGTGTTTAGAGTCGTGGTATGTTATTTTGTGACCTTTTGATTCATGTTTGGTTGACCATTTTGTTGTAAGGCAGTTCACTGTTTTAGAATGTATACGAAGGGAAAACCAGTTTGTTTTACTTAGGGTTTTTG